TAAAATAAAATAAACTAATTTAAAATTAAAATGACAGACACATCTATCACCGTGAAGGATCTTGTCGTTGGACAGACTATAGTTTCGTATAGTGTGTCCAAGAAGAGGATCCCTGACAGTGACACTTGTGTCTGTCAATATTCCAACTCTCATACTTTCAATATTCAACTCAACTCTTAACTCATTACATTACTCTTAACTTAACTTATTCTCTCAACTCTTAATATTTCAACTGTCTGTCATTATTTCACTGGAAAAATGTCTGTCATATTTCACTGGAAAATTGTATTTTCTATAATTTTTTTGATGTCGCTTGTCAAAATCTTCCTTGACATATTGGGGCAGACTGTACTACTCTCAACTCTGAGGCACTGAAGAAGAAACTAACTTTTTACTAATCTGAATTTTAATGTTTTTTTTATTTTTCTTTCTATGGTTTTTTATTTATTTATGGATTTTAATGAATCCAAGAAGTCATTGGACGTATTTTTTGCAGACAATAAAAACAATTAATTCTGCAAAATCCATTTTGGAACCGAATGTAAATATTTACAGGTAGATAGCTGTGTAACTGTATGACAAAGTGCGAAAATTTTGATAAAATGAATAATATTTTTACTGTTAAATGTTTATCTGAGGTTTTGACATGACGTAGGTTGTCTTAAAAAGAAAAATAATCATAAATATTTTTTTTCAAAAATAATAAGAGGAATGCGAATCGAAAACAAAATCATAAAATATTTAGTGGTTTTCTTATTAAGATTATTAAATTTGTATTTAATTCTTTTTCTGGGTATTATAACATTTCTTAGCTCAATTTTTTATTTACGGTTGGGAAAGTTAAGATCACTATTAACAGAGAAATACTGTTTTGATCATTAAAAAATAATCAAAATCTGATCAATTTTCTTTAATAGGGTGAAACTGGATACCGTGAGAAATAGTGCAATTTTATATTTATCCAAGGCTGTTGAAGCTTCATTTAACATTACATTATACATTATGAATCTCTAATACAACGTTGCCAGATATATCGGTCATATTTATAGTTGTTTCATGTGAGTGTGACGAAAAATAAACACCTTATTGCACAGTGGCGGATACAGAGGGGGGCCCCTAAAATCTACAAGTTGGGTAAATATTTTTATTTAGCTTTTTGGGTTAAACATGGCGCCTTAAAAAGCATATTCTATATTACTTTTTATTTGGCCCCCCCCTAAAATAAATTTTTGTATCCGCCCCTGTTATTGCAAACCCTTTGGTCGCCATTAATTTATTTCACCTTCATAACGGCCGGGGTACAAATGCACCCCAGACATAAATTTATTGCGATAATTTTTGAATTATTATTTACTTACTTTCCTATAAGCTCTTTTGCTAATCTTTTACAAACATACTTCTAATTCAGTATACCGGGTGCGTCGGCTAATATATAAGTGGCTCACCCTTATAACTTTTTTATTTTTTCTTATAAAAAAAAAAACGAGGTTTGGTATATGTTAGTTTGGTTAGGTTTACTAGTTTACATTTAAAAAAATGGTAAATGACGACAGAGATATGACATAACTAATCTCATTTTATCAGTCTCTGTTTTAACTTTTAATTGATTATTTTTTAGTATACCTACTATTTTTGAAAAATAATTTATTTTGTGTGTATGTGTTGTACATCTACATATATAATTTTCTATATCTGTGATTATAGCTTTAGTAGTTGAGGATGCATCCATACCATCTTAGAAAAATCGGAACGGCGCGGCGGCTGCGCCGGCGTATCGGCGTAACGACTTTGTATTGATTTCCAGTAATTTTATTGGCTGAAATTTTTGACAGATGAATTTTCGAAAAATTTTAGCCAATAGAATTGCTGGTAACCGATTAGGTCGTTACGCCGCGCCGCCCCCGATACGCCGTTCCGCTTTTTCTAGGATGGTGTGGATGCATCCTGAGTATTATTAGCAACATACAATACATTTAAGTAAACTTTGAATTAAATAATACAAATTATGTATTTTATGTAAAAATAGTACTATAATATATCTTAGAATCAAAATATGTTTAGTTAATTAAATACCTTCATAAAAAAAGTTAAGTAAAGTAAAGATATGAAGTTAATTAATTTGTTGCCAGGGCTAATCTGGACGGGGCCTACTTTGTTTACGCGGAATCCGAACCGCGGTCTTCGGCCATATCATGGTCAATGGCCTACCGACTTGGCAAGTGTCTAAATCGACTCTACTCCCGAGATATCCGATCTCATCCGACCTCGAACCGGCGCACAGACGGGTATTTTACGACTCTAGCTGGCCAAAAGTCGATTATAAAAAGTATAAAATGTACCAAAAAAAATTATCAGAGGGCTTCGACAAATGAACAGAGATCACTTTTTTATGGGCTTTGCTAATGTTAAAATAAATTTAGTTTCTCCTTATCAGCCTAAACTTCGTCTTTGTGTCGATTATATTTAGCGATTTTTATTTGAATTTAAGTTCATATATATTCCTTACGGTTTAGTGCTACGTATAGTGTATTAATTGTCTAAGAAATAATAGAAGGTGATGAAGCAGATAAGCGACTATCAGCATAACACAGCTTTATTTATCCTGGAGATATTTTCAATATTTTTTATGTATTAAAGCGATCTTTGTTCATTCTTGAAATTTTCATCTATTTTTTTTCCTTAAGAGAATTAGTTTATTTCCGGGTACAATTATGGAATTAATTTTGTGGCAAAAATATTCTACAAGATTGTAGTTTCTGACAGTGAAAAAAGCTATTCCACATATTTCCCCCTTTTCAAAGAAATTTATAAGAAAATTAAAAACTACAAAAACTTTGTTTTCAGAAATATTTTGTTTTAGTCTACAACATAAATTTGTTACTTTAGGTTGCTCCAATGTAAAACTTTTTACCCGATTAAAGCTGTATAACTTAATGAGAAGACAGAACTTACCCACACTTTCAATGACAAATTGAACTATTCAGAAAATTATCTTCTATCCGTTGAATCATTTTCTGGCGAAGAAAAGCTTTTTATAAAACAAAAGTTTTCTTATGAAAAATTTGAATTTAAAAGGCGATGGGTGGCTGTTCATTACATAGAAGAAAGATTTTTGGAAAAAAATAACTTATGGTTGCAAGGAGTTTTCGGAATTCCTAAGCCGACGGCCACTTCAGGAAGGCCAGACTTTTCAGACTTGAGTGACAGGAGTAAGAGGCGAAAGAGCAAAGAGTTGAGGGGTAAATTTAGTCCAGAAATTATGGGCTATGCTACTCAGATGCAGCTAAGATCGGAAGGCCATAAAAACGCAAGTTATGTTGTAAGGGAACTAATCAGTAATCCCGCAAAAGGCACCGAAAATAAAAACGCTATAATTGGAAAAGAGCAAAAAAGGACGATTTCTCCATTAAATGCGGTGTCAGTCACGCTGGTGGAAGCAGATCTATCAAGGCGTCAATATGAAATTATTAGAAGTACAAACAAAAGGCTTTATCTCTGTTATAGTATTTTGCAGCGCGCCAAGAAAGATTGTTACCCAAATAAAAGTGCATTTAGGGTAACCGAAACTTGTGCTAAAATTAGATTACAAGATCTAATGGATCATACAGTTTTACGATTACTCACTTATCTTGAGGACGTTTTGGAATTGCTAAGTGAACAAGAATGTACAAATCTAGTTTTGATATGTAAATGGGGATGTGACGGATCCCAGCAGTTACAAATTAAACAAAAGTTTAGTTGCGAGGAAGATTCTGACTGTAATATCTTTCAAAGTTCTTTTGTGCCAGACAAGCTTATATGTGACTTGAACCAAAATGTGATTTGGCAAAATCCGACGCCATCATCCCCTAGATTTTGTCGACCAATTAGAATTCGTTTTATAAAGGAGTCTTTTTCTTTAAATTAGTCCAATTTAGCATCAAGTTTTATATAACACCCAAAAACCCTATTTGATAATTTTGACCAGCTAGAATGTTAAAATACCTGTATGTGCGGCGTGAATGAGCAGTGTGTGTCAATAGATTTTATACTTTTGCCTTTATTGGACAACAGCACGATACAGAGTTTCGAACCGGTCACCCGTCCATCCACTAGTATCGCCTTACGTCGCTTAACTTCGGTGTTCTAATGGGAACCGGTGTTTCGACGTAGCTGGGCTGTTGCCTTTTCATAAAAAAAACATTTTAAAAATATTTTCAAAGGAAAAAAAATTACGGTGCACTTGTACCCCACTTGGTATTTAATGGAATTTTTTTGACCCCGGATTTATGAAGGTTAACATAAAATTGAGCAAATTTCGGACATCTTCGAGCGTCTGGCAACAGTGTTTTAGTGCGAATTTGTCGGTCGGTATATTTCTGTTACGCAACGGAAGAAGATCTGAAATGAAGAGAAAGAAAAAAAACTGACAAAGCTTAAAGGTAAAAGTTCATCATGGCAATCTTTCAAAGGCTGAAGATATGTTATGCAATAGATGTAGAGTATGTTATGCTGCTGTATAAATACCAAACGCTCATCAGGCATAAACAGTTAAATTGCATCGTAAATCGATGATATAAAGGACGATTATTAAATAATAATAATCATCAAAATGCCAGTAGATTATTTATGGTTTATATAAAACACACGAGTGCCAGAAAATTGAAAGAGATTAATTTGTTATGTTAAAAAACGTATAATCTGTTAAACATCCTCTACACTATGCCCGAAATGTTCCACGAAATATTTCTGGAAATATTTCGAGAAACATTTCGCGAAACATTTCTGGTAATATTTTCAGAAGTAAACTCAATGCTTTTCCAATGTTGCGGGAAATCTCGGTCGCAAACTCTGAAATAGAACACGAAATAGACCGAGACATTCCGTGATTTGTTTTTGGTTGGGTTGTTTGTTTGTTTTTTATTGTTAACAACTTTACAGTTACTTTACTTTTCAAAATAATCTGGTATATTGTGCATTAAACATCTAAAATATTACATTGGGACTTTATTTGTTTCCAGGAAGGTTCCATTGGTGCTCATCTGGCCATCAGACCTGTTCCATCACGTCTTAGACCCGCTGTCAAAGCCCAAAATCCTGATGACGAGGTGTTTCTGGATGACGATGGCGAAATGAGCAGTGAAGTAGCCATTGACACAGGTAAAAAAAACTTTAAACTGCTTATTTAAAACTTTGAAAAAAACTTTTAAGCCTAGAATTATTTAAATAGTTGCATGCTTTGTTCATACTTTTTTTATCTTTTGAGATAGCTTTAATATAAAATACTTGTAAAGTAAACATCTCTAAGACACTTTTGGATTTTTTATTACTGGCAAAGAGCTTGCAGAAAACTCTACTGAAGGAAAATTAGATATTCTAACTAATTTAACCTTATAAATTATTTTGTTTAATTTAGGACTGCCCATCATCAGAGATGACTCTAACCAAACAGAGACAACAACGCACCATCATATAGTCATTAAAAGGAAGAAAAACAATGGTGACACCATGAGTGACTATGGTATGTATGAAACAAATCTTGTAAATTAAACTTCTTAATAAATGTATTAACTTGTTAAAGCCTACTTTGATAACAATAAAGATAACGATTGTACTTCTTCTGTACAGGGTGGTCGAAATTGGTCTGTTTTAACAGAGAAAACCTATTTCCTGACTAGATAGAGCAAAACCGAGATAGATGTCATGGGCTCGATTTCTGAGACACATTTAATGGCATAAACCGCCTGTTGATATGTTCACTGCTAACTGAGATAGGGGTATTTTTAAATTTTTTACTATTTTGAAAATTGCCCATAACTTTTTTATTTTGCAGAATAATAAAATTCGGTAAAGACGTTCTTAAGGCACTTTTTTAAGCACAATCCAGTGGCGTAGTGAGTTTTTTTCTATGCTTGCTCTTTTTGTCAGAAATAATAAAAAATATAATTTTTTAAATGGCAATCATAGTTGGCTATTAACTTAAAAAAAATGCTGGCGTTTAACCATTTCGAACGATATGAAGTTATCCCATTTCTAAAAATGAGAGAAGAAGTACCTATTTCTAAGAATGAGAGAAATATTAGGTTTTTCATCTTTGTATCGAAATGTGCCTTGATTTTGTGTTGACCTAGTTGTCTAATTATTTTTTATCGCAATTTAATATTCTATATTATTATTTATCTGCAAAATTAAAGACTTTTGAAAAGATAAATCAACATTCTATATTAGTTTTGCTAATTACAATTAAAACGCCATTAAATGGAGAATTTAGAAAGAATCGGTTTGAAACAAGAGGCCCCATATCTTGCGATTAATTATTATCCTGCGATTTAACTTCTTTCGACTTTTTTATGGGGGAAATTAAAAGACTTTATACATAAGAGAAGAACCATATATGGGGCCTCTTGTCTCAAACCGATTCTTTCTAAATTCTCCATTTAATGGCGTTTTAATTGTAATTGGCAAAAATAATATAGAATGTTGATTTATCTTTTCAAAAGTCTTTAATTTCGCAGATAAATAATAATATAGAATATTAAATTGCGATAAAAAATAATTAGGTAACTAGGTCAACAGAAAATCAAGGCCCGCTTCGATACAAAGATAAAAAACTCTAATACTTCTCTCATTCTTAGAAATAGGTACCAACTGTATATCGTTAGAAAGGGTTAAACATCAGCATTTTTTTAAGTTAATAGCCAACTATGATTTCCATTTAAATAATTATATTTTTTATTATTTATCACAAAAAGAGCAAGCATAGAAAAAAACTCACTACGCCACTGGATTGTGCTTAAAAAAAGTGCCTTAAGAACGTCTTTACAGACTTTTATTATTCCGCGAAATAAAAAAGTTATGGGCAATTTTGTAAAAAATTAAAAAAGACCCCGTATCTCAGTTGGCAGTGAAAATATCAACATGCGGTTTATGCCATTAAACGTGTCTCAGAAATCGAACCCATGACATCTACGCCGATTTTGCTCTATCTAGTCAGGAAATGGATTTTCTCTGTTAAAACAGACCAATTTCGACCACCCTGTACAAGAAGTTATACATGCCTTCAGATGTTAATAGAATATGCGATCAGGAGTACCAAAATACTCGTACTAAACGCCGTATGTTTTTCCGAAAGTATTGTCTCTCTATACATATATAATATTGTAATCTGTTTATTCTTTTTATTTTTTTTTTGTTGTTATAGCTCTCATGGAACCTGATCATCTTTCCAAGCGATTCAAAAGAAGTACCAGATCAAAAAGGGACGCTCCGTACACGATTTATCCAGAAATTCTAGTGATTGTGGATTACGACGGTTACAGAATGCACGGGGGAGACAATCTTCAGATAAAACGATATTTTATCTCGTTCTGGAATGGCGTGGACTTGAGATACAAACTACTAAAAGGACCCAAGATCAGGGTTTCCATTGCTGGAATTATAATAAGCAGAGTAAGATTACTTTTTAGTATTTTTTATTAAGATTATACAGAAAAAATGAACCCAACATCCTCATCAGTTTCTATTCCAATGTCCTCCATTAAGTTTTTCTTAGATTTTGGATAATTCTCCAAAATTATATCTAAAATATCCTTACACAGCCGCTTTCTTTTCTTGTAAGTTTCCAGACTCTTGTTAAAACTCACCATAACTTCTTTTTTCTCCTAAAAAATTCTTGAAATTAATAAAAAATTATTTACTACGCCTTTTTTAATCTTTACATCATCTGAAACCATCTCTTCACCGTCAAATTCTTCCAAAGAATTATTGAAGTAACAAATTTCGTTTTTCAAATCAGATTTCTTCATGATGGCTTGAGGAAGGGTTAAAGTTTCCGCATTCATGCCAATTTCAGCTTGTAGGATCTTGATTTTTTGTTTTTTCTCTTTTAAATCAAGAGATATTTCGTTGATTTTTCTATCGAGCATTTTGAGTTCTTCGCTGATTTCAGCATTCGATTTTTTTGTCTCTTGTGATACAAAATAAACCTAGAACAAGGAATAATATTTATACAGTGCAATTAATACAATTCTGGTAAACTTCTGAAGTGTTTCAATGAAAGCTTTAAAACTACCAACTTACCTTTTGCTTACCGTACAGCTTTTCTTTGACTTGTCCATTTTCTACCAGATTGTCCAAAGCTTTCTGAATAGCGGATTTACCGTATTCCTTTCCAAAATTATTCTGGATATCTGTTATAGAATAAGGTCTATTCTGGGTCTCCAAGAAGTCCAGAACTGATTTTTTCACCATTCTTAATCTTAAAAAAAATAAATCCAAATATACAGGGTGTCTCATATTGGGAACTATTTAAATTGATTTAATAAGAAGTTCTTAGTTCAAGTACTTACTAAGAACTGTATTTAGAAGTTCTGAAAATTTCAGAAGGTAGTTCCAGGTGAGATAGTTTATACCGGGTGCGTCTCTAAAGTAGTTCACGGCTATAACTTTTTTATAAAAAAACAAGAGATTTAGTATGTTAATATATGACCTAAATTAGGATTGATAGGCGCATTCAATTGTTTTCGGTCACTTCCTGTTTCACCGGAAACGACTACAATTTTTGATTTTTTAAATGGCACTCTCAATTTTTTTTACTTTATTCAATAAGAAATGATATGAATAGAATGACATATCAGAATCTGTCTTACTTTTGACATTTTCACTTAAAAAAATCGAATTTTAAATATCAATCTAGAGTGCTAATCTGTGTTAAATACACTAATTTTTAATCAAGCAGCCTTGGAAAAATAGATTCGATCGTCTAATGTCTAATGTTTTTGGGGTCTTCTCGTAGCCAGTTAAAAAATGCCCAAATCGTGTTTTTAATCATAAGTATCTCAATTTTTTTCAAATGGAACGAGGATGGCTCATTAGCATATTTGGAAAAAGCATTTTCTACAAATAATTTGGTACAACACACTTGGTATTTCGAGTGAAATTGTCGTTATGAACAGTATGTTACAATTTCAAATAAACCATATCCGAAAATGTCAAAAGTTGACATATGATATGTCATTCTATTCATAATGTCATTTTCTATCAAATAAGGCAAAAATATACCTAGGGTGTTATTTAAAAATCAAAAGTTGTAGTCATTTCTGGTAAAGCAGGAAGTGACCAAGACCAATTGAATGCGTCAATCAATCCTAATTTATGTCATATACTAACACTAACATACCAAATACAAATCTCGTTTTTTTTTATGAAAAAAAAATTATGGGATGAGCCACTTATGAGACGCACCCGGTATAGGGTATAAAAATGTGTGTTTCGAAAAAATCACAGTGGATATATTATATTAATATAAGTCTTTTTAATATATAGGGTAGAGATGCAACTCCATACCTGGAAAGAAATAGGGTTGGAAGAGATGCTATTGACTCTGCAGCAGCCCTAACAGACATGGGAAAATACCTGTTCAGGGAAAGAAGATTGCCAGTGTATGACATTGCAGTTGCCATAACAAAGTGTGTGAATATTTTTATAATATTTATATATATATTTTTTAATTTGAAATTTAGCCATCTACATTTTTTAAACTAAAAAAAGCAGACCAAGAACAACTTAAAAAATAAAAAAATGGACTTTTAATAAAATAAAAAGCACTCTCAAGCTAATATTTTTTTGAATTTAGATATGATATGTGCAGAAGGCGAAAAGGAGGCAGGTGTACCAAAGGAACCGCCGGTAATTTTACAGCTTTTGCAAAAAGGGAACATTTTTGTGCCTTTATTTTAACTTTTTTTTTGTAAATATATATAAAATTAAACATGAAAAACAGCTAAAAATGGGTGTGCATTGCCAGAAGGGTATTTTTGGTAAAATACTAACAACAGATCTTGGGATATATTAATCAAACTGTCGCTGGATTATACTAAAGGGTGTTTCTCAAATAAGTGCAAGTGATTTAAGGGGTGATATGTGATAGATTTGGACAAAAGAAAGATATTTCCTATTTACGATGTTTAATCAATTTGAAAATACCCGAGTTATTATTTAACTTTAAAATTTTAAAAAATAATGCTTACATTTTTAGAACTGCCGGCATTAACAAACATTCGACCAGTTCGGATATTCGACGCCTTGTGTTGCCATATGGTCAAGAAAGTATACAACTTATTTTATTTAAAATATTTTGCAATATGGCGATAAGAGAAGAAATAGAAAATACAATTATTGGGTATAAATATAAACACACAAATATGCAGAGTCTAGGTAACGTACAGTAGGTGACAACACTGCAATGCCAGTTAAGAAATATCAGGGGTCGGAATGGGCGATAATGGATTTTATCTCTTGATAAGTTATTACCAGGGTTATTACAATTCACCTATTGATTTGTCGATAATTATCGGTATATCGATAATACTCGTTAAATCCGTAATTATCTAATTATCGATAGTTATCGCTTTATTGATAACTATCGAGAGATATGTCAATATCGATAATCTTTACAGTCAACTATTGTTATTCGATATATCGATAACTATCGATAGTTATCGCGATAGTTATCAATATATCGAAAAAAAATCCAGCCTTAAGCTTGATTTTCATGCATCCGTTGTCCGACGATACGTTGATACGATTTTAATTTTATTTTACAGTTTTTAAATTTATTGCATTTTCATGCCTCCGTTCATTGGATATATGTTGGTGTTATTTTATATTTTCGTTTCCATAACGATTTTGCTATTTTACTTATATTTTTATTAAGGTTAGATTAAATTTGTCAAATAAGTGTCAAAACGTCCGTTATCGTATGAACGGGAAATAAAGCTTAAAGCTTGATTTAAATGCATCCGTTATACGTTGATACGATGGTCCGACGGTGCTCTGATTGGTCATAGCGTTTTCGCGCCACTTTTCATCCGGAAATATTTTACTTCAGCCCGTCAACGGACCCGTTCATACGATAATGGACGTTTTGACAAATTTAATCCAACCTTAATAAAAATATAAGTAAAATAGCAAAATCGTTAAACGAAAATATAAAATAACATCAAAGTATATCCGATAAACGAAGGCATGAAAATGCAATAAATTTAAAAACTGCGTAATTTTCTAACCAATCAAAGTCTTTAAATTCTACCAATAAAATTAATATCGTATCAACGTATCGTCGGACAACGGATGCATGAAAATCAAGCTTTAATCCTAAGTATCTAGATCTAGTATAGAAAGTGGTCCTATGAAGTTTTAATAAAAACTGAAAATATAATATATGAGGTACCTTATTTTAGGTATATAAATAATAATTTTGAAATGTTCAACAAATATTCAGGTTTTTTAAAAAGATAAATAAAAATATACCTAAGAAAATAACTTTCGATATCTCGATTAACTATCGATATATCAATATTTCGATTCAAAATAAAAATACCCACATAGGATTTTTTTGGAGAGATGAACCCGCCACATAGGAATAGACATTTTTTAATATTTCGATTGTTATCTATATATCCATATTAATCAATAATCGATATTTATGGAAATGCGATAAATACATCGTATACAGGGTGGTCCGAACTGTAATCCGGAAACTTCGGCAGCATATTTTACTGATTAAAATAAGTAAAAAAGTTCATATACCTAAAAGTATCTCCTAAAATGCTTAGTTTCGGAGATACAGGGTGTAGAAGTTCCATTTTTATTTCGATTTTTTCCAAATAATTTCTGAAGTAACGTCAATATTTGGATGAAAATTGGTGCCTGGGAGTTTTTTGACATGAGAAATTTGATTTTAATGTCAAAATGACTCCTATTACTAGGGGGCGCCACCTACATGTGTTTTAACTGTTTTGAAAAGTAATAACTTTTTGTCCGTACCTGTATAAAACTACTGAGTGAAAAAATATACATTTCCGTGATTTTCTACGTAAAAAATGTCTCTTGGTAAAAATCACTACGAGCAACCGTTCTCAAGATATTTACAATGGAAATGTCATTACATGTCATTAATGACTAAAAATAAACATGTTGAGTAGATAGTTATTTGCCAGAAATGAGAAATTTGGGAACTTTTTTCTCTTTAATCTAATCATAAATTTTTCTTAGAAAAAATGATGATAAAACAGTTTCTGTTGAACTTTTGGCACAAAAACATTGCAAATTTATGATTTTAGTCTAATAACTAATTAGTCAACATGTTTAATTTATGTCAATGATGACAACCATTACCAATGTATTAGTAATTTCGATTTCAAATATCTCGAGAATCATTACTTGTAGCGATTTTTACCAAGAGACCTTTTTTAGGTAAAAAACATCGTAAATGTATATTTTTTATCTAGCTAGTTTTATACAGGTACGGACGAAAAGTTATTATTCATCAAACCAGTTAAAAAATACATAGGTGGCGCCCTCTACAAGTAGGATCCATATTGACATCGAAATCAAATTTCTTATGTCAAAAAACTCCCAGACACCAATTTTTGTCCAAATATTGACGCTACTTCGGAAATTATTTGGAAAAAATTGAGATAAAAATGAAACTTCTACACCCTGTATCTTCGAAACTAAGCATTTTAGGACATACACTTATAAGAACTTTTTTACTTATTTTTATCTGCAGAATATGTCGCCGAAGTTACCGGAATACAGTTCGGACCACCCTGTATAACGATATCTCGATAGGTATTGATATCTTTCGTTATATCCCATCCCCAAAAAATCCCATTCCTAATCAGGAGAATGAATTTGCGAGATAAAAAGTTTTTTAAAATTTAGCGGAAAATGTCAAGAAATAAAATTTTTAACAATTTTTTATAAGAAAAACTTGTGAGCGTGTTTCGGGGGTCGAACTACCAGTTAAAATACTTGCACTTATTTACGGAACTCCTTGTATATATTTATAGTTTATATCGTCGGTTTGCTGCAAAAACTCAATCAAAAGTCAATACTTTTTGTTTCGTTCTTGGTTATTTTTCAATTACATACGATTTCTGGATTCTTTAAGCCCAAGAGTTTGAAGAAGTTTTTGCAGTAACAGACCATTCTAGCATATTGCTATGAAATTTGATTATAAACTAAATAAAACAATTATATATTTATATATTTTGTTCCGAGATATTCAAATTGTCTGGGCTCAGTCGCCTAAAGGACTGCACATTTGACTCTAAGGTCACTGAGGCAATTTTTCGCTCTTTTCAGATTGGATATGTGCAGGAGGGCCTACCCAACAGATCAGTGCAACAGAGGGACCGCAGGTAGTTCCCTAAAAATCACCTGTGAATAATGTCACTCATGCACGGATCTATTTTTCACTACCTTCCACTAGTCTTCTAGTCTCCACCCTTCCACTAGTTTTTAGTGTCGTCATCAAACTATAGAAATACCTTTATGGCTATGTCTTCTTTGTAGCATCTTTCGTAGATTTTCAGATGCACGAAAAATTCATTCGAATCTTTTCCATATACAGGGTATATTTTTCATTGTACAGCAAAAAATGTCGATATATGTTCCTTCATCGTTATGTAGATGACTTTTAGTCTTTCATTCTTCTCATATCTTTGTATATCTTTACCCTCCAGAGTAGACATCTCACGATAATTTTGAACAAGATACCATCTATACAGGGCGGTTCTTTAATATCTTATTTTGGTAATATTAAAGTGTCCCCTGTATGTTCCATGTACAGCTATCAAAACGTTCTTAATTTTAAACATAACCTTTTGTTAACCTTATGACCTTATACATATTAATGCTTTTTTGCTTGCATAATCCCAAGAAACTAACGCATAAGCATATCTAGTAATGCATATGAAATAACATAAAATAACTTGTACCGTATAATCAAATATAAACATAATTTGCTAGAATAAAACTAGCGAGAAATAAAATTTCCTCATATTTTTCTTTGAAATCTTTATTATCAAAGCTTAATATTTCCTTCAAAATAACGTATGCCATTTAGTAAAATACTTTTCAAGCTTCTTTTTTTTATTAAAATTATCAATATAGACATACCATATAAATGAGACATACTAACTCAAGGTGGAGGAACCAGCATCGATCATAGCGACATCTATTAATTATATTGTAACCCCTTTTAGGATTTGCCTATGTAGGTGGCGCTTGTGTTGTAAACAAACGTCTAGAAAAAGTAAACTCTGTAGCCATTATCGAAGACACAGGAGGATTCAGTGGTATTATAGTAGCCGCTCACGAAGTAGGGCATCTGTGAGCATCTGTGACTTTTATGAGCAAACTTAGTACTCATTTTAAGTTTAACTTTATAGGTTAGGTGCTGTCCACGATGGCAGTCCACCACCATCCTACCTAGGTGGACCAGGAGCTGAGAAATGTCAGTGGACTGATGGATTCATCATGTCAGACTTACGGCACACTGAACGGGGATTCAGGTGGTCACCCTGTAGCGTGTCTAGTTTTCACCATTTCCTCAAGTACGTATTAAGTATAAAAATATATCAGATGTTAACGAAATTCTGTTTCAAAATGGCGTTGGACTTGATAATTAAAAAAATAGTTATATCTAATGTTTTAGTGGAGATACAGCGACGTGTCTCTATAATGCACCGCATGAAGACGAGAGTTTACCCAGGGTACTACCTGGGAAGTTATTATCCTTAGATGCACAATGTAAGAGGGATAGGGGTACTAGTGCATGCTTTGTAAGTACTGACCTGTGATTTTTAATATTTAATATAAGTTTAACAAAATGAGCTGAATAAATTATTGAAATTGAATAAAACAACTCTGTAAAGGTTAAAGTTGGCTTCAATAGTAAGCTGTATTTTTCTAGGTCAGTAGTACCTACTATTACAAACTTCAATCAATAAAATTCAATCAGTTCGTTATATAACTGAATTACAAAATAGATATAATATACATCAATTTATAATAATTAAAGAGAATGTATCTCTTATGTCGCTACCATTTCGTGTTCCATTAGTTCTTATTTGCGTTAAAATAATACAAACATATTTTAACATATACTATCTCTCACTCTGTTTTTTAAACTTGGCATGCGTTGATTGAATAATAAAGATAAATATGTCATAGTTAAATGTCATTCAGTAATTATATAAATTTTAAAATTCTACAGGGTGGTCTGAACTGTATTCCGAAACTTTAGCAGCACATTCTGCAGGTAAAAATAAGTAAAAAAGTTCGTATAAATGTATGTCCTAAATTGTTTAGTTTCGGAGATATAGGGTGTACAAGTTTCATTTTTATTTTGAATTTTTCCAAATAGTTTATGAAGTAACGTCAATATGTGGATGATAATTGGTGCCTGGGAGTTTTTTGACATGAGAAATTTGATTTTGATGTCAATATGACTCCTACTTGTAGAGGGCGCCTCCTACATATTTTTTAACTGGTTTGAAGAGTAATAACTTTTCGTTCGCACCTGTATAAAACTACTGAGTACAAAAATATACAATTACGACGTTTTCAACGTAAAAAAGGTCTCTTGGTAAAAATCGCTAGGAGTAACTGTTCTCGAGATATCTGGAATCGAAATTATCAATACGTGTCATTGGCATAAATTAAACATGTTGACTAAATAGTTATTAGACTGAAATCATAAATTTGAAATGTTTTTGTGCCAAAAGTTCAACAGAAACTGTTTCATCATTTTTTCGCAAAAAAATTGGTGATTAACTTAAAAAAATAAAAATTTCCCAAATTTATCACTTCAGTCAAATAACTATATCTACTCAACTGTGTTTATTTTCCGTTAATAAAGACATGTATTGACTATTTCCATTCTAAATATTTTGATAACGGTTGCTCGTAGCGATTTTTACCAAGAGACATTTTTTACATAAAAAATTACGAAAATGTATATTTTTTCACTCAGTAGTTTTATACAGGTACGGACGAAAAGTTATTACTCTTCAACACAGTTAAAACACATGTAGGTGGCGCCCCCTACAAACAAGAGTCATATTGACATCAAAATCAAATTTTTTATGACAAAAAACTTCCGGACACCAATTTTCATCGAAATATTGACGTTACTTCAAAAGTTATTTGGAAAAAATCGAAAAAAAAATGAAATTATTACATCCTGTATCACCGAAACTAAGCATTTTAGGACACACATTTATACGAACTTTTTTACTTATTTTTATCTGCAGAATACGCTACTGAAGTTTCCGGAATACACTTCGAACCACCCTGTATATTAAAATCTCGTATCAATATATTTTAATTTTTAAATTGCTATTTATACGTTCTACCGAATTTCTTGTTTTTTTTTATATTTCTGCTTTATATTTACAGGATGTACAATAAAAATGATTACGAAAAATTAAGTTTTAAAATTGTCTATGTACTCAATATCATTAGAGGTATTTTGTCGCTCACTGATGAATTTATTTGTTTATGTCTGTTGCAGAAAGATGATAGGGTGTGCGCACAACTTTTTTGTTTTGACGCAGGTAGTGGCTACTGTGTAGCTTATAGGCCGGCCGCTGAAGGATCAGCATGTGGAGACGGACAAGTAAACACACCAACTATTTATATACATGGTGTCTCTTAAATAAATACAAGTAGTTTAAGAAAACCGCTTCCGAAAAATTAGCTTTTTATTTGCATTTGTTATTGAGTATTTGTTGTTGCATTGTATTGAGTATTGTTTTTTTATCTGCTGCCTGACTGCCGCCTAAAGCCCCGTTTCAACACTTCGTATTGTTACGTTTTTCGTCGGTTCCGTGTGGATAGAAAGTCACAATTTATTTACACTAAGTAACAAACAATAACTATTAAAAGACTTAAAGAACTATATACAAACTATTTATAACTTATAACTATTTATCTAGAAAGAATTTATTTTTGAATTTAGCGCGACAACTGTACTTGTCTATTTATTTTTGTTCTCTTCAGGCTACAGCCGTCGGTTTATATACCCACAGCTAAATAGTTCTCGAATAATCCATAGATCATTAGGTACATAGAGAAGGTTTCGAATGTTCTTGTATGTACTACTCCATTCCAGTGGAACTCGATTGTTCTCGAACGTTCAAATGAAGCATTACGGTGTATATTCTTTAATGCGATGTTAAGGTCATATGGGGGCGGGCAAATACGTTTAAACTCAATAATTTAAACTTATTTAAACGTATTTGGGGGCGGGACATATAGTTTGGTTAGGTCGAGTCCACACGGGTCCGCAACAGTATTGTCGAGCGACACGTCAAAAGAACTAATGAGATTTGCATAAAATTTAAAATTGACAGCTGTTTGAATTTTGTACAAATCTCATTGGCTCTTTTGACGTGTCAAAGAACCAATGAGATTTTTAGAAGATTCGAACAGCTGTCAATTTTAAATTTAAGCAACTCTCATTGGTTCTTTGAAATGTCAACCAATGTAGCCAGCGACACGTCAACTGAACCAATGAAATTTGTACAAAATTCAAACAGCTGTCAATTTTAAATTTAGTACAACTCTCATTGGTTCTTTGAAGTGTCAATCAGTGTCGCTAGCGACATAACATAGTTTTGAGAACGGGGCTTAACAGTTTAAAAAGAAATGCTGCTGTTGAAAATAACACTCTGAATAGAATGATATATCATATGTCAACTTCTGACATTTTCGCATATGGTTTATTTGAAATTATAACATGCGGTTCATAACGACAGTTTGACTCGAAAGACCAAGTGTGTGGTACCAAATTATTCGTAAAAAAATGCTTTTTTCCAAATATGCTAATGAGCCACCTTCGTTCCATTTGAAAAAAATTGAGATATGATTAAAAATAAAAATACGATTTGGGCATCTTTTAACCGGCCAGGACAAGATACGAAAAACATTAGACGATCAAATCTATTTTTCCAAGGCTCCTTGATTAAAAATTAGTGTTTTAACACAACCATGGCATTCTAGATTGAAATTTAAAATACGATTTTCTTTTAAGCGAAAATGTCAAAAGTTGACATATGATATGTCATTCTATTCAGGGTGCATCCACACTATCCTAGAAACGGCGTATCGGCGTAACGACCTTGAATCGATTTCCAGCAATTCTATTGGCTGTAAAATTCATCTGTCAGAAATTTTATCTGTCAAATTCATCTGTCAAAAATTTCAGCCAATAGAATTACTGGAAATCTATTCAAGGTCGTTACGCCGATACGCCGTTTCTAGGATAGTGTGAATGCACTCCCAGAGTGTCATTTTCTATCGAATAAATTAAAAATATACCGAGGGTACCATTTAAAAATTAAAAGTTGTCATCATTTCCGGTGCAACAGGAAGTGACCGAAAACAATTGAATACGTCAATCAATCCTAATTTATGTAAAATCCTAAATACTAACATACCACATCTCGTTTTTTATCTGAAAAAATAAAAAAGTTATAGGGGTGAGCCACTTTTGAGACGCACCCGGTATATAAATATCTGACTGCTGATCTACTGACTATTTATAGAAGGACTTAAGTCTTTTCTAATGAGACTTGCATCTTTTTAATGACTTAAACCTTTTCTAAAAATCTTTTTCTATTTCGGTCAACAAAGATTTAATTCACAAATCATTTTGAAAAAGACAAGTGTGAGCTTGCAGTTCTGCCTGCGGCACTAATTTTTGTTAATTTCCCGGACAATGTCATGATAAAGTAAAATTTAAATTATGATTTTTTTGCAAAAAAAAACTTATGGACAAGTCTCAACTACTTGAGCTTATTTAAGAGACATTCTGCGAAAGGAGAGAAAATAAATACCCTAGTATTTAACTCCTTCCCTAATTTTTATTTTCAATGAATAATACCAGTCTGAACTAACTTAATAACTGAAAAATATTTTTAGTATTGCCTAAACGGCCACTGTGTGGCGGAGCACGAGAACATTATTCCAGATTACTCACAAAATCAACCAGCATACGTCAGACCAAATAGCTTTACAGGAAGACCTTTGTAAGTACTGTTCTTTAAATAAACATACTCAATCTAAAAAATACATACATATAGGTTTAACAGCGATGAACAAGACGAATTTGAACCACTACCTCCCGACACTTACAAATCCAAAGCAATACCTTATAAACCCAACAATTATTATCCCTCTCAAACATCTACAACTCCTAGTACCACCACCATCAAAATATTACCCCCAGAGACCATCTCAACCACCGGTCGACCATGGGGGTGGTTCCTAGCATCTCCTCAGTATCCTTCAACAAGAAACCCTTACGACGTTGGGTCGTTCGGACAGTCTAGCAAAGATCAAGTGAAGAATAATTATTTGAAAAGGTCTTACAACGCTGCCAGTTTCTACGGAGATAGTAGTGATATGAAAAATAGTACTGTGGGCAGTACAATCTTCTCTAGGACTGGGTTTAAAATTGTTAACAATATCCGAACTCAGGGGTAAGCTGTCTTTAAAAGGCTGCTTCCATTAATCTCTGTTCTTCTTCAGTAGAACTCATTTAAATTTGTATATCAAGCATTTTTTTATAGTTTCCATAAGTGAAAATTGGGCATGTTCTTCTTTTAGCATTTTCTGCATCAGGCTGTGAATCTTATACATTATTTTTTGTCATACCAAGTTCCTACGTCATTTAAAAAAAATACATATAAAAACTATATTCTTGCCTTAATGATTTTTTTTTAATTCAATTGACCATATCTGTCCTCTATACTGTATATTCTATCATCTTAAGTTTCACAGAACTTTTTAAGTTGCTTATCATTTTCTAGAGACAACTCTATATGTACCATGGCTACATGTACTGTCTAAGCTCCTACGTCATTTAAAAAAAATACATATTAAAACTAATTCTTGGCTTAATGTTTTTTTTAATTCAATTTACCATATCTGTCCTCTATACTGTATATTCTATCATCTTATGTTTCACAGAACTTTTTAAGTTGCTTGTCATTTTCTAGAGACAACTCTCTATATGTACCATAGCTAAATTATCTTTACTTCAGCTGTTGTGTCATTTTTGAAGTATTATATATTCAGCTTCATCAAAGCCAGTTATTCGACTGCATGGCTTCTAAACATCAATCAGACTGATTCAATTTGCCTATATCTATTGTATTTTTAGTGTTAGTCAGATTTAAAATCTTCCAACTCATTTCTTTGAACAGGCCAGTAAGAGAGGGTTTGAGGGTCCGAATTCTGAACACCTGCACCGATTGACGTGAAATTTTAACAGTGAATAGAGATATATGTAAAAAACAAAAGTTACAGAGTAGCGAGGTGTGTTTTCACCCTGGGGGTGAGTACCACTCCTTCTCGGGGTTGAAAAAAAAATCACCCATTTTAATTACAAAAACCAATAAAGAGATGAATTCTAAGCAAAAAATGTTCTATAACATTTTTTCGGAAAATATAATATTTTTCTAGTTATTTAGGATTGAAAATGTTGGTTTTTCATCTAAAAACTGCATATTTTTTTGCCAATTTTTATAAATAACTCGAAAACCTTGCGTTTTATCGCAAAACTCATATAAAGCAAAATTAAGCTTTTGGAATAGCTAAACGATCCATTTTTTGTTGACTACCGTAGGTGTAATAATAGCCGAGTTATCATTCTGTAAACGTGATTTTATTATTTTTCGAAAACTAAATTGCAACCTTTTACCGTAAAATAATGGCGAAAGAACACATTTTTCGAAGAAAATGAATATGACCGTTTTTAAAGTGCTTGAAAAGACCTTTTAAATGCTTTCTTTAAAAAAGTTCGTACCTCAAAAACTCGCGGAGTTATGATAAAAATAATATGGTCACCTCATTATTTCGGAAAAAAATTAAAAACAAAATCTATAACTAAAATCATAAAAATAAGAACTAAGCGTAATGTACACTTGGCTATATTTAGGTACTAACAATTGACTGCAAGTTCGAGCGGTTTAGAATTTAGGCATTTTTTTGGAAAAAAGTTGAAAATAATGAAAACATTTTATTTTCGGTTTTTTAAAATTTTTTATTTTTTCTACTAAGCAAGAACTGTAAAAAATGCAACAGAGGAAAATTGAAGGTATTTTTTTTTCAATATTTTTGCTCCCTTTAAATTTTTCTGTAGATCTCTTTATTTCGTAGATATTATTTTAGTAGTAGATTTATTCGACCATACCAACAGGTATGGTAGGCTATTAAGATCGGAAAAAAAGTTTTTTTAATTTCACCATTTCACTCAAAATCTCAAAATGAGTTATTTGGGTCATAAATGACTTAAATACAAAATATTTTCATGGTGTCTGTCTGTCCGTTTGTAAGACGATAACTCAAAAACCGCTAAACCGATTTTAACCAAATTTGGTACAAAAATACTGTGGCAGCCGAGAATCTGGCCATTAATTTTTTGTGGGAGTGGGGGGTTGGTAAGGGGGTATGGGAGGGGGTTAAAAATTAAAAAAAATCGTAACTCCAAAATTACAGTAGCTAGCGAAACGCGGTTTTCAATTTAAGATTAGGAATAATATTTGCAACAAAATTTGTAATAACATCAAAATCAGTCAAAGTCGCAGTTTTTAAGATATTCCGTGTTTCCGTAGTCCGTTTTTGAGAAAATCTATGTGGAGAATTCCAAACTCCCATCGGACGCGACCTCAGGTGGCGGATAGGGGAAATTACCGCGGAAAAAAAATGGAAAAATTCCTTTACTTTGAAACTAAAAGAACTGCCTATAAACTTTTTATTAACATATTTTAGTATGGGCGGCTAAATTTTTTTTAGTAAAGGTCTTTTCAAGCACTTTAAAAATGCAGTAAAAAGTTGCAATTTAGTTTTCGAAAAATGAAGAATCAAGTTTACAGAGTGATAACCAACAAAAAATGAATCGATTCGTTATTCCGAAAGCTGCATTTTTTCTTTAAATGAGTTTTGCGATAAAAAACTCGAAACCGATTTCCGAGTTATTTATAAAAAATTGCAGAAAAATATACAGTTTTTAGACGAAAAAACATTTTCAATCCTAAATAACTCGGAAAATATTAATTTTCCAAAGAAAAAATGTTATAGAACATTTTTTATATAGAATTCATCCCTTTATTGATTTTTGTAATTAAAATGGATGATTTATTTTTCACCCCCGAGAAGGGGTGGCACTCATCCCCAGGGTGAAGACACACATCGCTACTTTGTGTCGCTACTATGTAACTTTTGTTTCTTACCTATATATATATATATCACTATTGACTGTTAAAATTTCACGTCAATCGGTGCGGGTGTCAAGTATAATCAATACCCTATTTTTATCCTCGCTTACTGGCCTAGAAATAAGATCTCTTTAAAAATATATTCTAACCTTTTTCATGTGTAATATTAATAAAGAATATCATATCTAGCCGTCATACATTCCCCATAAACAACTCGAATATACAGAAATTACTTATACTTTCTCTTTTCTAGCTAAATCGAAGACCACAAGTTCTAAAAGACTCAGCCCTCCCCTAAAAGGCAAAGTGTAAAACAGGAAACACGAAACTTTGGGGAACCCCCCGTATAGTTTTCAAGGCAAAACTATCTTGTGATTTATTATAATTATTAATTATGTTAAGATGAACAAAATTGTTCTATACGAAGTCACAGATTTTGACTGCGACGCCAAATAAACTGTTAATTGAATTCATAAAAAATATGTGTGTGATGTTAGTGAAGAAACCGTAAAGTTTTTTAAGTTATTTTGAAGTTGTCAGGGATGTTAGGGAGGCCTAAATGTATCGAGATTAAAAATGTAAATATCGAATAATATCGATATTTTTTAAATGGACCGTCCTTGGTCAGTATCAAGACTCAAAAACCAAAAACCCTTGGAAAAATAGCATGCCGACTTTAGCAGACTATTAAGACATGGAGACAGGAGATTCCTCGCTACTACTAGCTACTTCAGTACTACTACTGAAGTCATGAACATTACCAGAAAGACGGCATTTTCGAAATTAGTTCTTTTCTTTAGACAGAAGGTCTGCTTTGAAAAACACTGCCAGGATTTTACTTCACAGCGTCATCTTTATTAGATGTAGTATTTATGTCTGTTTATCATAAACTCACTCATTATTTCTATTTAAGGGTTAAAAGAACTTCTAAGCTATTATTCATGTGCAATATAATTTTGACGACAAATTTGACTTAAAAGCTGTGTGCAATACCTAAAAATAGAAATCATAGGTCGAAATAAATTATGTGCACTTTAATTTATTTATATTATGAAGATATATGAATAGTTTTTGTATTAAGACCAATTTTACCAGTTTTTCTTAAGAATTATCTATTTGATAACCAAGAACATTAATATAATTGTATTTCAGTCAATGGACTAAGCATTTTCCCTGCCTAAGGCTATTACTTAAATATATCAAATAATATCACAGACTGAAATTTAAATATTCTTTGATATGTGATGAACTTGTACGTCATTGTACCATTATCTGACAATAAAGTGAATTGGTCATTAGTTATTATTTATGTTTTAGTTGTTTATATAGTTTTAGATAATAAATATATAATGTATAAGGAAAAAAATGATCACTGAAAATTCTAAATAAAATATATTTTTAATACAAACTTCAAATTGTATTGTTCCTCAAATTTTGTTTCAATAAATTTAACGAAAGAAAAACTAGTTTTTACTTTTCATTTATATATTTTTCACCTTGTACCTATTACATTACAAATATACAGTTTAATCTTAAAATTACCTAGCACTAAACGTAATAAAATGTTCTCAATTGTGTCCATGTGGATTTCCAAGTGCGTGGAGTCCTAATCTTCCAATATTGAGAACCGAAAGAAGGGCAACCACACCTGCCGGCATTATTTTACGAGAATTGTAGAACCTGTAACCCATGAGGCCCCCTAAAACACTGCTTGCGCCCAATTGTAACGCATAATTAGACGAATCTTGACTAAGTTGATAGGCTCCAAATGCTAGAGTACTTCCAAAAACCAAACCAGCTGCTAGAGATGGTATTGAACCTAAAAATGAATATATTTAAACCCCATTTTTTAATAAACGTAATAATATAACCGAATGATAAGATACAAAACTAGCTGAATCATTTAGCCATTATTAATATAAAAATTAATTTACCTGCTTTAGCATACCCTGCTATACCACCTGCAGCAACTGCACTGGCATAAATATACCCGAAAATGTCCACAGTCATGGCTTTATTTCTCTTTTAACTTACAAATTTAAAATAAATTTAAAATATGCTAAATAATAAACTTTGTAAAAACAATCAGAGCAACAATACCAATTTGTAAGGTTATGTTTATTTTGACTTTGACAGTTCGAGAAAAATGAAATGAGCGATAAGGAGATTAGTTTTATTTTAATTTATAAAGTACTCACCCTACTTCTATTCACTCTTTCTGAAAATTGAAGATCTTACATACGATTACAGTAATAAAATATAACATGAATATGAATACACAATGAATGGCGAATGTAACTTTTTTTGAATGTTTTTCGAATTTGAAAGCAGTTTGAAAATGGTTTGAAAGTCCGAAGAGGAAGAGACACTGGAGACATCTAGACGGCAAATATCGCACCCAGACCAAAGACGTAAGTAGATACCTATTTTATCAGTACCAGTGACATCCATAGGCGATTTTTTAAAACTAAGTGATGAGTGTCCCAGGGTTGCCACAAGCTACACAATTGTGTATTTTGCTACACATTCGCTTCCATGACTGCACAGCTACACCACAATGGCCTGTGCTACACATTTTGAGAATTTACATATTTATTATAAAAAAATAATACCAGAACAGTAAATCAGCTGACAAAAGCTGTTTTTTTTGCTTTTAAGTTATCTAAGTTACATTAAAGCAAGTGAACTTTAAATTTTGAACTGACAAATATCATTTTCGGTCATCTGATTGCTTAATTCCTTAAATAATACATAACACGTACTTTCGCCAAATTTAGAGGCCAAATTTCACTGTAGTTCGGTCCACTCGTTGGCATACGTGAATAATATTCAATTCCTATTTCACTTTTCCTCCCATATCAGCAAGGACTGTAGTTTCTATGGACAAATTTGGCCGATTAAACAGTCCTGAATTGTTTACAGTTTTTAAACAGACTCCATAACCGGTCTAATTTTTCCATAAAATCGTTAGTTCCGCGACATCAATTTTGACGTCATTGCAATATTTGCTGGCATGAGAAGAAATGAAATGGAAAATGAATATATTGACGTATACAAACGAGTGGAAGTGAGACTCTTATCGAGATTCGTAATTATGCTTTAAAATTTGGCGATTTTACGTCTTATTCTTGGTCTTATTGGATAGTTTACAATTATTGGGGTCATGGATTGCTACACAATGCTACACATTTTTAAGGTCAAGTTCTGCACAATCAAAAATTTTCTTGTGGCAACCCTGGAGTGTCCTTGTAAAAGATTTTTAGATTATTTAAAATTTGCTGAGTTTAATTCCAAGAAAAAAAACATATCTCGTAATAAAAGTGCATGAATAATATGTGCTAGTATAAATACGTGAGATAAGTGATTACTCGAGGCATTTTAAGTGGTAATTATATTCAAGGACGATCTCATTACGCTTTTGAGGTTACATTATTTTTTTTGTTTTGATCATTTTTAAATTCGTATTTTCAGAGAAAACCGATAATATTCTAGGAAAAATGGGTTCCAATGGATTAATAGAAGGCAAAAAAGTGATTTTCAGTACTGGAAATATTATGTCAATTAGTGATATTACCAAGAAACCTAGTCAAAATTCTACACAAGAGGTTAGTATTGATTAAATCTATTTTTTTTTCAATTTGTTTAAATCAATCTAATATATCTGCTTTGTCATGTTGTGCAATATGTATTTTACCTATTTTATTCTGAAGGTCTTTATGGAAACCATTTGATTTATTCAAAGATTTGAATATACTAATTTATAATTGTTATTCATAAAAAAAGGTAAAAAAAAATTTTTTAGCTAATAGATGCCATCAAATTTACCTTGAAGGACTATGAAAAAAATTCAGAACTTTCAGAAGCGCCCAATGATACAAGATTTATATTGAGGTCTGATGATATACAGGCTAAAATACAAGAAAATGATTTGGAAGATTTAAAGATTGGATTGAAAGTGTTTTTGACTAATGACAGTGAGGAGTTACTTGATGAAGCATTAAAAACCGGTAAATTATTAAATGAAAGAACTGGATATATATTAAAGGTGCTTTTTTAACAGCGCTATCTTGGCAATTAAAAGTTAAAAAGGTCACAGATGTTATTGTCTCCTTTAAAAAACAGGAGCTCGAACAAAAGGCTGATAATTTAGAGGAAATTAAGAAAATCTGGTTGGTATTGGAGAATTATGTTCAAAATGGTATTGTTGATGAATTGGGAGTAGCTGACATAGAAGAACCCACATTTAGGTATGATTTAACATAATAAACTTGTTTTTTTTCTAAAATAATTTTTATTTTGTAGAGCATTGTATGATTGGGCAAAAATCAAGCCTAATATTATCCAAATCAACTTAGCGACTTGCTGTGTAGTTCCCCCAACATTACAATCATTTTGCAAAGAAAAAGACATCAAATTGTTCACACACAGTGATTCTAGTGGTACATTTACCTATTTTTTATTTGGTTTTTAAGTTAATTAATTCTTATTTTAGATATTCTACCAGATGAATCAGTCAAAGAAGTTTTTGGTGCTCCTTTAGACCTACAATGGGCAGTACGCTTTACAATCCATATTAAATGTCGAGGAGTGCTAACAACTAAAGGCTACTGTCTTTGTATGAGTCCAAAGGACTAAATAATATTGCTTTTTTTTATATGTATATTTAAGGATTATGAAAGAGCTTTTAGCTGTTTATAATGGAGTTTGAAATAACCCAAAACTTTTTTAATTTTTTCTGTTGAGCAAATGAATGTTTTTATGAAATTTGAAGATTTTTATATCAGGGTATTGGTAGAAGTAGTGGCAATTATAATATATGTACACGGAAGTAGATACACGTTCAATCAGTATTGTTAACAGTATCATAGTGCCTTTGTTTATTAGTAATTACATTCCTTCTTTGATAAATTTGTTTTAACATAAGATAGAACGTCACTATATGAATAATGAATATATAATTTAGAATATTAAATATTAGTTTTAGTTCCTCTAAAATTTAATAGATGGCGAAATGAAAAGATCTCAAACAGGGTTAAATAAGATAGATCTCAAACAGGGCTAATAAATAAATGATATTTAGGTGTTATTTACATTTAAAATATACAGGGTGTCCCAATATTTCGTGGACATAGAACTACTATGTATTTGTGGAATCAAAATAAGTTCATTGAACATAATTTACCACTATACACAAGAGTACTTCGTTTGTCCGTTAGACGGCATTAAACTTTAAAAAATAAACATGTTTTATGAGATATTTTAGTAACCGTTATTCCGATTTGAATGATATTTTGGGTGTCTAAGTTTTCCTAAGTGCTTTATTAATATTTGACTATATCAAAAAAAGTACTTAAAGTACAGGAAGGGTGAAAACTACCCCCGTTCCTACATACATTTTAGCATAAATATATTTTCCAATTCAACCGACGCGACGACAGATTTTTTTTCGTAAAATGGCCCTTCTAGTATTTACCACATTTTTTAAATAATATAAGTGTCTCTTGTAAAAAAACGCCACCGCGCATACTTTTGAGGAAAAAAAAAATTCCGAAGCTATGACTTCAAAAAATATTTTTTGTTACATCAAGCTATGAACCTATGATGATCCTTCCCGTACTTTTTCTTGATTTTTGTGAAAGTTACATGTTAAAGCGCTTAGCAAAACAAAGACGCAAAATCTCATTCAAATCGGAATAACGGTTCTTAAAATACGTGTTTATTTTTTTAAAGTTTGATGCCTTCTAGCGGACAAAGAAAGCACTATAAAAGCACGTATAGTGTTAAATCAGGTTAAATTGTGTTCAATGAAATTACTTGGATTCCAATCCATATAGTAGTTCTATGTCCACGGAATATTGGGACACCTTGTATATTTATCCAACTAAAGTATAATTTCATCATATCTTGATTAATTAAATAAATTATTTAATCAGAGAAAATTATAGGCGACCTAATAAGAAACCTTTAAAATACTGCTGTGAAATACTGTAAATGAAAAATATGTAACTGGGTAGAATTCTCAAAGATGGCGCTAGATAATATTTTTTAAAAGTCTTTATTTTGTATGTTTTGAATCAAGAACAGTTACTACCATAGAGTTACTACCGTTCTTGGTTTTGAATAGCAAGATAACAAGGGAAGACCACTAACAATACTAACAGTCCTCCTTCCTTAAAACTGTGATTAAAACTATTCATTTTTTCCCACTACGTAATTAATATCATCGCGCAGACACATAAAGTCTTAAAATATATAAAAACATTATAAAAATACTGAAGGTGTAAATTTTTAAGTCACAAGTATAGAAAACCGCAATATTTTACCAGCCCGAAAATAAGGGCACAAAACCAACAGCTCTCTACTAAAACTATTAATTTTCTATCTCAGAACTCTCTAAAAATATATTAAATTATACAGGGTGGTCCGAATTGTATTCCGGAAACTTCGGCAGCATATTCTGCAGATAAAAATAAGTAAAAAAATTCGTATAAATGTATGTGCTAAAATGCTTAATTTCGGAAATACAGGGTGTAGAAGTTTCATTTTGAAATCATTTTGAAAATTGGCGCCTGGGAGTTTTTTGATATGAGAAATTTGATTTTGATGTCAATATGACTCCTACTTGTAGAGGGCGCCACCTACATATGTTTTAACTGCTTTGCTTTGAAGAGTAATAACTTTTCGGCCGTACCTGTATAAAACTACTGAGTAAAAAATACCTCTACATTTACGAAGTTTTTTGCGTAAAAAATGTCTCTTGGTAAAAATCGCTACGACTAATGGTTCTTGAGATATTTGGAATCAAAATTGTCAATACCTATCATAACTGACATAAATTAAACATGTCGACTAAATAGTTATTAGACTGAAATCATAAATTTGAAATGTTTTTGTGCCAAAAGTTCAACAGAAACTGTTTGGTTTGGTTTGGTATATATGTATATTTTTTCACTCCATAGTTTTATACAGGTACGGACGAAAAATGATTACTCTTTAAAACAGTTAAAACACATGTAGGTGGCGCCCTCTACAAGTAGAAGTCATAACGCATCAAAATCAAATTTCTCATGTCAAAAAACTCCCAGACACCAATTTTCATCCATATATTGACGTTACCTCATAAATTATTTGGAAAAAATCGAAATAATAATGAACTAAGCATTTTAGGACATACATTTATTATTTATACCAGCTTTTTTACTTATTTTTCTCTGCAGGATGTGCTGCCGAAGTTTCTGGAATATAATTCTGACCACCCTGTATATAAATACTGTTTTTTTCAACCATTAGTATTTTAATTTATCAAATCGCTAAGAAACAAACACAAGGTTTCAAAAATGAAAAAATTATAAGGATGTGCCACTTTTGAGACGCACCCGGTATTTTCGACCACTAGGCATCAGTAGGTACTATGTAGAGTAATTATAATACAGCAGTCATAATTAGTAGGCATATTTATCAAATCTCCAAGTAGAAGAAACCTCAATATTTCACAAGTCCGAAATGAAAAAGTGTCTGTAGTCTGTGCTTAACAGCTATCTATTAAAACAATATTTTCTAGCTCAATTCTACTCTACAGGGTCGCCAAGGTCTGGATTTCGATACCGATTTTCGTACAAAAAGTATAGTCAATACTCTCAGTACAATAAAAGATGTAGATACTGAATAAAGAAACAAGAGCAAGTATTTTCCCAAGCACAGAAAATATAGTGTCGGAACACTTGACATTTTTCTCTTTTCGACTTACAAGATTACCATAGCGTTGTCTTTCCTAGACATGTAATATGTAATTACTGACCCAACACTGTCTTTTGCCGATATGGTATACATACCGTTTAATGGAAAAAACGGCATCCAGTGGGCTTGGAAAGGAAATAGCGATAATTTATATAATTTTGTTACCCATATAATTTTGTTTATTTCCAAGCCATCTTTTACGCTTTTTCGAAAATTGGCACCCAAAAAGAAAGACATTATATTGCCGACCCTGTATATAAAATTTTATACAGGGTGAGTCTTAAATAAGTGCAGATATTTTAGGGGTAGAATATTTCGATCCATAAAACAGAATTATGAAGGGGTTTTCGAGAAATTTTTTTTGAAAATTTGGAATTCTTTTAAAAAAATTTTGAACTTTTTTTTACTTTTAGTTAAAAAATATAATTTCTTGATAACATGAGAAGATAGGACATTAAAGATGGCATTAAAAAAATTTAAAGGTTGCTATTAGAATTATTGGATTAAGGCAAATTAATTAAATTGCGTTTATCTCAACATGGAGGCCGAAATCGACAAAATATCAAAAGACATCTTTTAATCGGCATTAAACTGCTTACACTATTTTGCTAACAAGAGCAAAAGAAAGTCAGTGGCGTACATGTTTTTTTTAGAAAAATATGCCTGTGAAAAACCATGTGTACGTCACTGGTGAATATGTCGACACTTTTTTAGCTTTAAAATATGTCGCATTTATAGTAACTTTTATACTCAAAATTTCATTCGAGACACTAAAAGAAAGAATAAGACTTTAACGAAGAAATATTAAGACTTTAACACCCTGTAGCTACGAAACAAAGCAAAATCGGACATATGTCGACATGAAAAATAAATCTTATTTTTACACGAGGAATCTTCCCACGAGAGATGGAACATGTTTTTTGAGACACCCTGTGTTCTAGTCTTTACTAGTATAACTTCAGAAGTCCGGGCAGTTATCAGGGTGAGTCTTAAATAAGTGCAAATATTTTAGGGGTAGAATATTTCGGTCCATAAAACACGATTATGAAGGGTTTTTTTCGAAATTTTTTTTTTGAAAATTTGGAATTCTTTTAAAAAAATTTTGACCTTTTTTTACTTTTAGTTAAAAAACATAATTTCTTGATAACATGACAAGATAGGATATTAAAGATGGCATTAAAAATTTTTAAAGGTTGCTATTAGAATTATTGGATTAAGGCAAATTAATTATTAAATTGCGTTTATCTCAACATGGAGACCGAAATCGACAAAATATCAAGAGACTACTTTTAATCAGCTACCTTTAATTAACGGTCTACATAACTTTGCTAACAAATTAAAAAAAGTCGGTGGCGCACATATTTTTTTTTTAGAAAAATATTCGAGGTGATAACCCATATGCACGTCCCTGGCGAATATGTCGACACTTTTTTACCATTAAAATATGTCGCACTTATAGTAACTTTTGCCTTCAAAATTTCATTAGAATCGCTAAAACCACCTGGAAGAAAATTATAATAAATCGAAAAAAGATGAAGACTTATTTAACCACAGAATATCTAGCTACGCTTTAACTCTTTGTACCTGCGAAAGAAAGCGGAATGTTAATATAAAAAATAAATCTTATTTTTACGACAGAAATCTCCCAACGAGAGATGGCACATGTTTGAAATACTCTGTGGAGTCTTTATGAGGCCCTCAGTGCACAAATCGACTAAATCCATAATATATAAAGTAGAAAATTGCAATGAAATAATGGGCAATGTGCATTGGCTTCTAAAATTTCTTTTATAATATATCTATATTCAAATACATTTTATTGAAATAAATACAGATGGAGACCTCACTTAAAAGTATGAAGTATGTTGCGGTTATGTACATTGCCTGGAAACTTATATGGTGAAATTGTGATAAAATAATTTAGTACACACTAAAAACACGGTATGTCGCTAGTGGTAGGAAAAATAATTTTTAGAGGTTACTAGTTTATTTGGTTGTCTGAAATATGCATATAGAGGGTGTTTCCTAATTAATCTAAAAAATAAAAAATCGTTAGAAAACGAATTAAGGCGGGCTCTTAATAAGTATATTTATTTTTTTCTCGACAACCGTTTGATGAACAAGAAAAACTCAAAAGATCAATTTTGTTGAAAAAGGAAGAAAGAAGCCTCATCAGAAAGGAAGCACTTTAGACCTAATGGTTATATAAAAATTGTTTTAAGAACACATGAGGAA